AAAAAAAAAAAAAAAAAATATATGGCTGAGCGTGGTACCTCATGCCTGTATCCAGCACTCTAGGAGGCCAAGGCGGGTGGACCTCTTGAGCCCATCAGCTCGAGACTGGCATGAGCAAAAGTCAGACTCTAATTCTACTAAAAATAGAGGCAAGAGGATTGCTTGAGCCTGAGCTAGAGGGTGCTGTGAGCTATGATGCCACAGCACTCTACCTAGGGCAACAACTGGAGGCTCTGCCTTAAAACCAAAAACCAGATATTATAGTGGGTGACTATAGTCCCACCTACTTGGGAGGCTGAGGCAAGAGGATCACCTAAGCCCAAGAATTTGAGGTTGCTGTGAGCTATGACAACACTAAAATCAACACAATTTCCCCCACTTTCTGTTTGCTTCTAATAAATGCTGAGAAAATAAAAGCTAATAGACCTCTTTAGTAGCTAATAGACCTACTTTGTAGTAGGCAAGTCTTCGCTTAACTACAAACTGTGGACTAATATGTTTGTCAGGCCAACAACACAAATCACTTTATTTGGCAAGAGGGGAAACTATCTGGAGCTCTTGAGTGGAAGAACTACTGAAGTAATAAAGCTGCCAATACATGACCTACATGCCTAAAAGGAGCTCTGGCACTACACTGTTATCTTTATAAATTTTCAATGCAACCACTGTTTTTATTTTATTCATAGTTGCTACCAAATTGTGTCAGTTATTCTTAAAAAATAACATTTTTCTTTCATTTCATTAGAGCTATATATATGGGCTCAAGATTCTCATCAAAGAGAACTACTATTCTCTAAAAAAAAAAAAAATCTGTTATCTGGCATAGATTTTGTATTGGCTTAAATGTCTTACCTAGGTATTTCTTTATTCCTATTCAAAATGCTATGTTCTAATATAAAAATAGTCTTAAAAAATGTCTAAAATATTCTCTTCTTGTGCTACCTTTGTCCATCATTCATAACTAGTATCACTCCACCTCAAAAGCTGCCACCTGGAATAGCTACACATATATGTAGGTAACAGCTATTAAGGATTACATAGAAACCTACTTTACTAAGAAAGAATTTCCTAAGGCTTCAAGATTCCCATGCTACCTTAGTCCTTCTGGACTAAATTTTGTCATCCCTTTGTAATCGCATCTTTTTAGTCTGTTACAGCTTTTTTCCCAATTAAAAGTTGCATATCTTCTGGCTACTATATACTTAATCTATAGGAACTATTAAATATAGTTTGGGGGCTGGGCAAAGTTGGTCATGACGATCATCTCAGCACTTCGGGAGGCTGAGGAGGGAGGATCCCTTGATAAGAGTTTGAGACCAGCCTGAGCAAGAGTGAAACCCCAGACCCAAAAATAACTGGGCACATGCACCTGTAGTCTCAACTACATAGGAGGTTGAGGCAAGAGGATAACCTGATCCCAAGAGTTTGAGGTTGCTGGAAGCTATGACTCACTAGTACTCTACTCAGGGCAATAAAATGATACTATCTCAATAAACAAACAAACAAACAAGTATGTATTTTAGCAAATACAGTGATACTGTCTTAATAAATAAATAAACAAATAAGTATATTATGTTAGTAAATACAGTCTTAACAACATACTGTGGCTGGTGGTTTCATATTTTCTTTCTTATCCTTTGTTAGTGCCAATAAGGAATCTCTTTTACCACTTGATTTTCTTTCCATACCACTTATCTTCATATTTAATTGTGAATTTTCTGTCTGTTTTATTGAAAATAAAACAATCTCATTAAGTTCAACTGTATTATTTTACTTCTCCTTTTCACATTTTTAAAATTCTAATCTAGTAAGTATTTATTTCAAATAATGTCAAATTTCTTCTGATTATTCAAACCTATAAAAATCAAAGAAAACAAATCTACTAATTCAGTAACAGCAAATGGCTTTGTTATCTCTAACTTTAGAGCAGGTGCTCTGCACCACTTAATTTTATGAATTCTGAAAATAATAAATACATAATTACTATAATGTCAAACAAGTTACTGAACTCAAATATTCTACCTATACTGGGAGTATCCTAAAAGAAAACTGAAAATCAGGCTCAGTGCCTGTGGCTCAAACAGCTAAGGTGGCAAGTTTGAATCCAGCCTGGGCCCGCCAAACGACGATGACGGCTGCAACCAAAAACAGCCAGGCGTTGTGGCAGGCATCTGTGGTCCCAGCTACTTGGGAGGTTGAGGCAGGAGACTTCCTTGAACCTAGGAGTTGGAGGCTGCTGTGAGCTGTGATGCCATGGCACCCTACCCAGGAGGACAGCTTGAGGCTGTCTCAAAAAAAACAAAAAAACAAAACAAACAAAAAAACCCCTGAAAATCATAACTTTATACATTAAACAATAAAGAGGAGGCTGAAGTGGGAGGATCACTTGAGGTCAGGAGATAGAGACCAGGCTGAGCAAGAGAAAGACCCGCCTCTACTAAATATAGAAACATTAGCTGCGCCTTGTGGCGTTTCACAAGTGAATAGCTTAAGTCCAGGCGTTTGAGGTTGCTGTGAGCTATGATGATGTAGCACTCTACCGAAGTGACAGAGTGAAACTGTCTAAAACCAAAACCAAAAAAATGAGAGTTAATAATGCATATAAATTACAGATTACATATATACCGCCTGTAATATTCTGAAATTAAGAAATAAAAAATAGAATGCTACAAACACACTTTCCCTCAACAGAATATTTGGCTCTTATAAACAGATTCTAAATGAAAAACTGCTATACCTCATTTGTTCTTTCTTTATTTAGAGACAGTCTTACTGTGTCACCCTCCATAGAGTACTGGGACATCATAGCTCACAGCAACCTCAAACTCCTGGGCTCTAAGTGATTCTTTTGCCTCAGTCTCTGGTACCTGGGATTACAGGTGCCTGCAACAATGCCTGGCTACTTTGTCAAGATGGGGGTCTCACTCTTGCTCAGGCTGATCTCGAACTCTTGAGCTCAGGCAAACTACCTGCCTCAGCCTCCCAGAGTGCTAGGATTGCAGGCATGAGCCACAGCATACAGCCACCTCATCTGTTCCTAAATAGAAAAATGTTTAAGAATATTCCACCTCATGGGTATATAATATATGTAATATCCATGACTTTCTTCCTCTAAACTCCTAGATCTTCAGGCAGTATCAAAGAATTTTAGTCCTAATGTATAATGTGATAACAAAGACATGTTTTCTGATAGAAAAAAATGAGAAAATTAATAGGAAAAAATGAGGGTAGCTCTTGCTTAGACATGTACTGGTAACTATTATTTCTAATTTTTTCCAAATCAATACTTAACTATGTATTTTAACAACCACAAACTAACATAGTACACACAAGGCACCTGAGTTCAAAAAAGATTAATGAATGAGAATTAGAGATTACAGATGAGAATCACTAGTGAAAAATTTTGTCTTTAATTCATAAAGTATTTTAGTCCAGACAATGAACAATACAGAGAAACTCTATGTTATAGAACTCTTTTCTGTTCAGATCCCATGTGTTTGGCACTTAACAATCAACAAACGATTCAAACTTCATTTAAAAGTTAAAAAACAAAAAACAATAAAAACTCAAAACTTACTGTATCTGAATATGGTTCACTGGATTCCTCCACCATTTCAACAGTTTCCAAACCAGGCAACAGAAGCAGAAATTTTTGTTTGGCTTGTCTTAGTACTGACCTTTTAAAAAGTACATAAACATATATATCTTGAGTCAAGTACCAGTGAACATACTAACAAAAGCACTTTACTTATAATTTTAGAGCAGCAAAATACGTTGGGCTTAATCAAAGGCTACTTCTTTCTATACAAATATAAAACTAGGAGAAATTAGAGAATTTTTATATCTTTCCTTATACTTCTCTGAATTTCCAAATTTTCTTCTTTAAAAAGGTATCAAACTTTCCAAATTTTTACAATGGCAAAAGCTAAACATAAGTACAAATATTACGTCAATGATTCATGTCTAGCTTTAAAAACCATCTATTTCCTCCCTTTCTTGTTTATTAAGAATAACTTTAAATTGCTTTTCTTGGTTCCTGAAGTGAAGGTTATGCTAAGCACCAAAGAAAATGTCAAATAATATTTAGTAATTTCCTTCTACTCCAAATAATAGTATTTCAATTAAGGAATCCTCTGCAATAATTCCCCATAAGAAAAGTTTAGTTTAAACCAAGATACCAATTTACAAATATCACAATACAATAGTTATATAAAAGTTTTGACGCTGGCATACTTTAACTCATCAGGATAAATCAACACTGTCACTTTAGCAAATGTGGCATTCCAGAACTGAGCACTCTGTTTTCGAATCTGTTTATTCTTATGCAGAAATGTTATGCATAACAATGGAGAGAGTTGTTCAAGAAGTTCACTGTCAAATGCTCCAGTGTAGCTGAATTGTAGACAAGCAATAATTTCTCCTAGTAGCTTTTCTAACTAGGAAAAAAGAAAAAAATAAAAGGAAAAAATATACTAAACATTAACTTGCAGAACATATTGCTATTTTAATTTTTTAATATTTGAATGATTTTAAACAAGCTTCTGCTATTGCCCTTGAATATATATTCCTCTTTATAAACTGACAAATTATCAGAGAAATTTTCTTGACAATAGATATTTTTAAAAATCTCAATTTGTTATTTTCCATTCATAGAAAAAAGTTGTTTTTACATCATTTTAACAAGAATAGTTGCCCACACAAACTAACTAAACTCAACTCCTAGAAAACATTGGAGCCAGTTGTACTTATTCAGGGAACACTTGGGATCTAGTAGCAGCAGAATAGAGCAGCCTCCACTGAGCACTACAATCTGGGGAAAGGGGGGTGACTTGGCTCACAAAGTGGGTGCAACTGTGTGGGGCCAGAGCCAAGGCCCAGCCAAACAAGAGTGGACCTACATATGCAGGGAGATCCCAGGGTCCTCCCTAGATGTGGGCCAAGCAGCCTCAGAAGCTCTGACCCCAGCTCATGGCCCTCTTGTCCAGGGCCCTGGATGTGACAGAGAAAGAAGAGCTCCTGGGAGAGATGGAAGGGCAGCCTTCACAGAGTAGGAGGTTATGGTAGGGTGGTGCGATCTGCACCTTAACCAGGGAAACATTAGGCCTCTCTGGATATATCTCTTCCAATTGAGAGCTGGCCAATTTCTTGAGGGGTTGGGTCAAAAATGTGGTTGCCCATGATCTATAGGAGCACAAATACCATATATATAAGTGAAATAGGAGTCAATGAATTAATACATCATTAAATCCTTTAAAAAAAAACTATCTGTGAATGTCTATTAAAAATCAAGTATAAAACCCCCCTTAAAAATGAGGAGACTTAAGTTTAAGGAAGACAATTTATCTAAACGCCACTATTTTGGAGGGAAGATAGATAATTAGGATGCTCCATGCCTACACTATGATCTGTAAAAATGGGAATAATTATGATGTCTCCTCCTGTCAAGATACCAGAACTTACATATACAAACACTGCCTTCCAAATTAAAAAAATAAACTCCATCATGTAAGTATATATAGACAATTGTGTATTTTTACCTTGTTGTTCAGACAACTATACACTTTAGGAACTTCATCAAGCCTGGGAAGAAAAACCCATCAGTTAAGAGTACTGTTTATATTTTAGTAAGTAAACACTATTTACTGATCTAAATCTAAACATGAAGTAATACAGCCATACAAGAAATACATACGTAATGATACCAAAATGTGTCCCAAGGTTTAATGATAAAAAAATCAAACTGCCAAATATTAGGCATGAAACAATCTTTTAAATCACAGAAAATATCTAAAATACTCCTCAAAGTATTCACACTAGTTACTTGTTCCAGCATATTTTTCAAAGCATAAACTATTCTTTTTTTTTTTTGAGACAGAGCCTCAAGCTGTCTCCCTGGGTAGAGTACTGTCGCATCACAGCTCACAGCCACCTCCAACTCCTGGGCTCAAGCGAGTCTCCTGCCTTAGCCTCCCAGGTAGCTGGGACTGCATAAACTATTCTTGATGAAATAAAAACTTAGCTTTGCGCTTTATAAAATCCTTCCCTATGAGTTTAACTTATAAAAAATAAACTGTATGATTGAACCACACAAACCTACTATAAAAATACTGATAAAGCCTTTTGAAATAGTTCTATAAGTACATTATTGAATTTTTCAGAATTTAAGGTACTGCTTATTTCAAATGTAAAGGGCAATGTAGAATTAAAACTCTTGGAGATTAATTAAGAAACTTAAATATGCGTATCATTTCAACCAACATTTTTACCCTTAAAAATCACCTTCTACAGAAACAGTGACTAATGTGGTCAATGATTTATTTACAAATAATGTTTCACTATTTGAGGGGAAAATGCAAGAAAAGACATATCTGCTAAATAAGAAACTGGATAAAAAGCATAAAGAGGGTCAAATGCCATCAGGTAGAAGCTGGGAGCCTGTAACTCACATGGCTAAGGTGCTAGCCACATACACCAGAGCTGGCAGGTTCGAATCCAGCCTGGGCCTGCCAAACGACAATGACAACCACCACCAAAAAACAGATAGGCATCTGTAGTCCCAGCTACTTGGGAGACTGAGGCAAGAGAATCGCTTAAGCCCAGGAGTTGGAGGTTGCTGCGAGCTGTGACACCATAGCACTTTACCCAGGGCAACAACTTGAGGCTCTGTCTCAAAAAAAAAAAAAAAAAAAGAAAGAAAGAAAAGAAACTGAATACATACGTTTAATTCAAAGCTACTAACACCAAATACTTACTTTGAGTTTTCATAAAGTAACATCAGAGGTTGTGTTAAAGTTGCAAATATTTTTCGGGTCATAGATGGCAAAGAAATACGTCCAAGTACGCTGGAGAGAATGTTGGTGATTGAACTGCCAATAGCGAAGAGGGTATCAGAATGTTCTTCCTTGAAACTCAGAGTGTGGAAGGAATAGATTACTTTCACAATAAGTTTAAATAAAGAAGTCAATTTCCCTAAGGGCTCATTCTTCTTTTTGTTCCAATCTGAAGGTCTCTGTGGTGCTAAGATAAAATTGAAATGGTTAAGAATTCAAGTATACTGGAAATAGTGTCCACCTTTACAATTTCTCTCTCACATTTAATGACAGATTTATCAAATAGATGTGCTTTTGTCAACTGATAGCCCAAGAAAACCTTAAAATGATATACTGTTAATAGATGAATATCGCTAGAACATCAACATCTTTACAAATCAGAATGGGCAATAAAGAAAAACTATTTGCAGATCGAGAATAAGAATTCCAGAAAAAGTCTGTTGTCTAAGGTTAAATTATATAATGCATTTCAAACTTTTATTTACATTCTTTAGCATTTCAAAACTAATTTGTAGGAAGTACTAAATTACATTAGATTCCCATATTAACTTTTAAAAGCTAGTTTTTAAAATAAGAAAAAACTGCCATTAGTAAATGGCCATTTCCTCTCTCACCTATAGTACACTAATCTTTACAAATAACACCCCAGCCCTGGTTTATGTGGCTAGCATCCTAGCCGCTGACCTATAGGTGTCGAGCCAAGGCTGAATATCTTGTACCAACACTCTCAAAGAAAAATGGAGACATATCAAAAGGTCTTAAGAGCCAATATGAAAGGACTCTTAGTCCCTAAATCTGGGACAGCTTCAATGTTAAAAGAATGAATTACAGCCCCCTGAATAAAATGGAAATCCAGAAGTTCACAGTAATAAAGTAAATGGGAACATGGAAACTACACTTATATTAGATTGCTACCTATACCTGGAAGGGATGAGCGTCTACTAATGCTCAATCAATTAATTCTAGAATGCTTATAGGAATATAATGAGACAACTAATTAAAACAAGGTACAGCTTTTAGAATGTAATTGATAGAGATAAACATCTTGATACAAACTAAATCAAAGGAAACAATGTGAACTATCATTTCAGGAAATATAGTTTTAGGCAAAAAGTATCAACGAATGATCAACTCATGGTTGGAAGTTTGCTAAGAAACAGGATATTTACACAGTCTCAAACTGCCACAAAACACTAATTTATTCATTGTAAGTATTTATTAATTTTATAGTAGAAAATATGGAAGATGCCATCTCAACCAAATAGTAAATGCTAATCCCAAGTAATAGAAATAATGAACTATGAAAGAACTGTAGCATTACTTTTATGGTATTCCTGTGAAGAAATGAATGAAACCTGAATCTAACAGGAACTCTAAATAGTAGCACTGGCTGAGTAGTCCACGTTTAAAGGACACAAAAGACACAACTAAGATCTGTCATCCTTTCAAATGGCTCTGCGAAGGAGGGCAAAAAAGAATAAAATGTATTCATGGGTTCAAGGCAGGGGGTAGATAAGAGAAATGCAGTCAACTGTAAACTGAGGAATGTGAGTAAAGGATATGAAGTTTCTATGTAGAATTTTGGAAGTTTTTCTCTAAATCTGAAATTACCATAAAATAAGTCACTAAAAATCCTAAAATGATCCTGATGCATAACTCTTAATAGTAACAATTCCCTTTCAGCTAGTCATAATTTTGTCTACTCAGAACTTGTGCCAGCATATTATAGAAATTTCTCCATTCTGTAAATTTAAACAGCCAGAGATCCTTGTTCTATACCAACGTGGTTCTCAACGTTCCTAATGCCTCGACCCTTTAATACTGTTCCTTATGTTGTGATGACCCCAACCATAAAATTATTTTTGTTGCCACTTCATAACTGTAATTTTGTTAGTTATGAATTGTAATGTAAATATCTGATATGTAGGATGTATTTTCATTGTTAGAAAGGGGTCGTGACCCACAAGTTGATAACCACTGTTCTAGACAGACACAGAGTAAAAAAGACAAGACACAGTTGTAACTATGGGTTTATAGATCATGGCTCAGATACTTGGTTAAATCTAATTTTTTAGAAATTCTATCACAGGTAAAATTATGTCAACATGAGCTAAAATCATCTTTGTCCTATGAAACTTCTCGCAAATTAACTTCTGATATCACTTGTTAGCATTGTGATGTCATTTTTAATAGTTACAGAATTCAGTGATAATTCTATTTCTCTGACACACTGAGGTAATCAGATTCCAAGAGAAGAAATGAAATTACTAAGTCAAGTACATCTATGGCACTCAGGATGCTCCAACCTATAATATATTTCAGGCACTTACCATGTCACTCTGTATTTCTATTTAGTAAAAACTCGACAACAAAAAAGATTCTAAAGGCTAGGTGCCCACTGCTCTGTGGTTAGGGTGCCAGCCACAGTGGTTCGAACCCAGCCTGGGCCTGCTAAACAGCAATAACAAATGCAAAAAAAAAATAGTGAAGCGTTATGGCAGGTGCCTGTAGTCCCAGCTACTTGGGAGGCTGAGTCAAGAGAATCACATAAGCCTAAGAGTTTCAGCTGTGATGCCACAGCACTCTACCAAGGGTGACATAGTCAGACTCTGTCCGTGCCCCGCCCCCCAAAAGATTCTAAAATCTAAATACATTTTAGAATTCTTTAATTCATCAATGATAGCTCTGGTTTGTGCAAAATTTGAGTATTTTTCTAATCTTTAAACAGAAAAAAATATCTCAACATCAACTAACATTTTTCATTAATGTGAGATTATCATTTCCTATAGGCTATGAATATATAAACATAGGTGAATAAATTCTATTTCAAAGAATTAGTACATTAAAATAGTGATCAACTGCAAAACAATGTAAAATGAACCAAGATGTGTCCTTTTGAAAATCAGACTTGCTATTTTATTTGTCCAGTTTTAACAAAACATGATAAAAACTGAGCTAACTTGTTAGGATAATTTTGTTTCCTTTAAAATAATAACCAACTCATTCTATGATTTCCTTTTCAAAGTTAATGTCAATCCAATGGCTATTTTCAAATCAGGTTTCCAAATAAAAACATTTTAAATAATGTCTACATTTCTTGTCCAGATAATCCCTCATTATCAGATGGAAAGAGTAAAATCATTTGTATTAGACAATCTCTAACTAGGATAATATTTATATTTCTGTGTTGTTAGTAAACAAAGTAAAGACATCATGTGTATTTGTGTGTGGGGGAGAACAAGAACATATAAACTCCCAGCACAGTATATGACATGGCTTAAGAATTTCTAGTTAGTAAAATGAGGTGGGAAACGTGATTAGGATTTTCCCTGACAACAATTTAGAAGTGCTTATAAAATACTAAGATGGCACACAACAAATGAAGGTAAAGAAAATACTTACATTTAACTTTGGGCTGGTATTTAATATCATATGGAGAGAAGTCTATGCAATCAACCATTAATGTAACAATATGAACAATCCTATCCAAGAAAAACAAATTCTAGGGAAGAGAAGTACTGTAATTAGAAGCATTCAACTATGGCATAGTATTCAATAATAAGAAAGAAATACAATACTTTTACTCCCACAAATACGATAAAACACATCCATAGCTTACACCAGATAAACTACATTAAAGACAAGTTACATGTTGTTTAAGAACATGCTTTGAGAAATGTGTCATTAGGTGATTCTGTCACTGTGGGAATAATACAGAGTGTACTTATACAAACCTACATGGTATAGCCTATTCCACCCCCAGGCTATAAGGTATAATCTATTGCTCCTAGGCTACAAACCTGTACAGCATGTTACTGTGCTAAATACTGTAGGCAACTTTAACACAATGGTAAATATCTGTTATCTAAACAGAGAAAAAGTACAGTAAAAATACAGTATTATATCTTAAGGTACCACTATTGGATAAATAATATGGTCATTGTTGACAAATATGTTATATGACACATGTCTACATAATTGTAAATACTTTCCAGTTAATTGCTATGTAAAAAAATACTGTACTTTCTGTTCCTCAGCATTTAGGGAAATAACTCAACTTTAAGATGCCCATAAAATTCAACCATCAAGTTAAGAATGGAAATACTAGACTCATAAGATTCTTTATCAAATGCCAAGGTATTCATTTAGCCCAAGCTCCTCCAAACCTTTCCCTCCTCTCCACACCTCTCAATCCAACAGAAACAAAAACCAATCCACAGACACATTGAAGACTTCTCAGAAAGACCAGGTGCAGTGCCTCAGCCTGTGATCCTAAGAGTCTGGGAGGCTGAGGTGGGCGGATCACCTGAGCTCTTGAGTTCAAGACCAGCCTGAGCAAGAGCAAGACTCCCTCTCTAAAAATAGCCCAGTACTGTGGTGGGTGCCTGTAGTCCCAGCTACTTGGGAGGCTGAGGCAAGAGGGTCTCTTTAGTCTAAGAGTTTAAGGTTGCTATGAGCTACAATGCCAAGGCACTCTACTAAGAATGGAAAAAGTAAGACTGTCAAAGACTTCTTGGAAATGTAATAGGTGGTGATGGGTGGAAGGAGACTAAAAATAGAACAAAATTACAGCACACCTGAAAAAAAAACCAAAAACTAAGAGCTTTGCTAGGAGAACCTCTGTGTAACACAAGACATTAAAAAAATGTTTATAAAAAAAAGTCAAGTGATTAACTCTTAAGGGGCTGCTGAAATAAAAGTGTATAAAACCACTGTTTCTTCTCCATTTCTTCTCTATTACTTTCCATTTGTCTATTTTACTACTTTACATGTCTGCCCCAAAGATAGCTTCCCTGACAGAATGTAAGGGACAAAGGAGGATGGCAGTGCCCCATCTATGAAAGCAATATGGAAGGTCAGTCTAAATGACAAACTACATATTCACATAGGAAGGATATTTCTCGGTGATTTCTCCCTGCTCACAAAAAAAAGGTAAAGGATATCTATAACTACAATTTGTCATTAAAGTCAGAAAGACGTGGGCACTCTCTTGGTTTAAGAATACATTTCAGCTACCAATATTGATCAACATTAACCTTTAATGACAAATATGCACAATTATAAGGAGAATGAGCACCATGAAGAAAGGAAAGTATGTAAATACAAACTGAACTAATCCATGAGGATAGAGCAAATACCAACACACATGTGCACCATCAATACATAAACTACACATGTAGTTTACACATGAAGTCTATTCTAGAATGTTACCCAACTATTCACAGTAGTTATCTTTATTGAAGAGATGAGGAAGGAATAAAGAGACATTTTTAAGACTACAAACTTCCAAAGGGATTAACCTTAAAGGTCTGACATAGATACGAGGAAAGTGAGGTCTAGAACAGCCAAAGGCCTTGTGCTATTAAAGTGGCATAAGCACGAGACGGCATATAGTAGTGCAGTAAAAGATCCTTACTGTTAAGGCCAGGCGCAATGGCTCATGCTTGTAATCCTAGCACTCTGGGAGGCTGAGGCAGATGGATTGCTTGAGCTCACAGGTGCGAGATCTGTCGAAGCCAGAGGAAACCCTGTCTCTAAAAAAATATATAGGCGCCTGTTGTGGCAGGCACCCATAGTCCCAGCTGCTTGGGAGGCTGAGGCAAGAGAATTGCTTGAGCCCAAGAGTTTGAGGTTGCTGTGAGCTGTGATGCCACAGCACTCCACTGAGGGCAACAAAATGAGACTGTCTCCAAAAAAAAAAAAAAAAAAAAAATCCTCACTGTTATAAATCCTGAAACATGGACCATAGAAGTCCAGACACAATATTGTTTCACAAAGTGGTACTTGTTTTCAAAACTAACTTAGTCACTCATAAAACATAAGCGTTAGTAAATAATAGTCCACGAATGTGACCTTCACTTACTTGAAAAGAATCCTTTAAACTTTAAAAAGGCGATACTGTAATAAAACTCACCAAAAGGCCTTCACCTTCCAAACTGGACATTATCTTGGAACAAAGTTCCTCACAGCATAAATTCTCTTCTGCTGTTGCCACCAACGCAGCACAGCGAGCAAAAGCTCGATACAATTCTGACCAAGTTCTAAGCAAGGTCTTCATAGTAGCCTAATAATAATAAAAAAATTTTTACAAATTTATACCTATGTGTCAAACAGCTGACATAGTCAATACATCTTTTAGATTTTAAAAAAACAGTGAAATATTTAACATGTCAGAGAAGAGACTAATACATAAGGAAATAATATCCCTCCATCTCCACTGTAACTGAAGAGATGAAATAATGCTGACATACCAGCAATTATCAAAGGTCCAAAGGAACTTCTCTCTTCTTTCACCATTTCCCTTACTCCTAAGCTAATAGTAAGGTCGTAAAAAAGTCTTATTTTAAGAAAAATTACTATAGGAGCTCATTATAGAGTGAAATACTTCCAAATAATTGCAAATTCCTCACACATAAGAACTTAACAATGGCTTACCACAGGAAATTTCTGTACTGAAAATATATGGTTTATGGGTAAAATCAATGCACCATAGACAGCACTAAAATTATGTTCTAAGGCATCACCTTGATTTACTTCATTGGTCTGAAATAAGGAAAATAATAAAGTTAGATAAATTATCTTCTAATTCTCATCACAAGTAGTAACATAACATATACAGCAGGTAGAACTATGTCTCCCAATGATGAGATATTCAGAAGATACTGAGACTTCTAATCCTTAGAACCTGGGGACGTGACTTTATTTGGAAATAAAGCCTTTACAGATATAATCAAGTGAAGATGAAGTCATACTGTCTTAGGGCGGGCCCAAATCCAAGGAATAGCACACTTAATAAGAATGGAAAAATTTGGACAGAGGAAAGAATACCACACGAAGACAGAGGCAGAGAATCAAGTGATATGGTTACAAGCCGTAGAAGGGCAAGGACTGCCAGCAACCATCAACAAAGAGGCATAAATTTTTAGGTTTTCCCTCACAGATCCAGAAAGAACCTGTCCCCCTGGAACACCATGATCTCCAGAATGGCAAGAATAAATTCCTGTTGTTTTAAGCTGTGACTCTGCGGTATTTTGTTTTTAATAGCAAACCTGGGCAAGTAATGTGCTATGTCTTAGTCCTAAAAAGATTCCCAGAGGCAACTCTGAAATTGTCTACTACACATACACACCATTCAAACCAGGACTTAAAAAATAAAGGGCCTCTACTCTCCTTCCAACAGCGGGAAGCTATTCAGGAACATAAACCATTTTTCCTTTAAAAAGTATATTTAATTATGTAGCCTGAAGAGCTACTTCACTATAACATAAAAATTTGTTAAAGGTCTTCATTTCACTTCTCATTTACAGTGGAATCAGCCCAGAGTTTGTACTCTATTCCCTGTTGATAGTGCCAGTTTTGTTAAATATTCATGAATGTATGAATTAGTCACATCTTAAAAAATTCCTGGCTAGGTAGCACTCTGAAAGGCTCAGGCAAGAAGATTCCTTGAGCTCAGGAATTTGAGGCCAACTTAAGGAAAGTAAGACCATGTCTCTATTAAAAATAAAAAATGAGCTGGGCATGGTAGTACATGCCTATAGTCCCAGCTACTCAGGCTGAAGTAGGAGGACTGCTTGAGCCCAGCAATTTGAGGTTGTGGTGAGCTGAGGCCATGACATTCTAACCAGGTGACAGAACCTCTAAACAAACACACAACTGAGTAATTTTTGACTTGGTGGAAACTATATAGCTCTTAGGTAATCTGCGTCTTGATCACAGAAATATATAGCCTAGTCATGATTACTTTTATTATCAGTAGCTGTACTAAGAGTACTGAAAGAACTGAATATATAAACACAAGAATTTATGCATATTATGAGTGAGCCTTCTAGTTTTATAATCCCTAGCAGAGAAAATGAACCTGATTAGTCCCTATTAAGTGGTAACTTTATCAGTAAGCGGAAATGCAACTAAATCAAGCCAATTCCACTAGTAAAAAGTATTTAACATATTCTATTCAAAGTCAAACTTCTTTTGTACTAGAATGCTTATCGAAGCTCAATTTATAATTGCCAAAACATGGACACAACCTAAATACCCACCAACCCAGGAATGGATTAAAAAACTTAGTACATGTATACCATGAAATACTACTTAGCCATTAAAAAAAAGGGAGACTTTTTAATTTTTCTATTAACCTGGAGAGAGCTGAAACACATTCTTCTTAGTAAAGTATTACAAGAATGGAGAAGCAAAAATAGAATGTACTCAATCCTAATATGAAGCCAGTAGACAATCTAATACATGCCCATGTAAGAGAAAAAAAATTAATTCAAGGTGGGGGGGGGCAGGAGAAAGAGGGAGTAGGGGAGTTGGGAGGAGGGAGATGGGTGTGCTCTCACTTTATGGACATAATGTTAAGGTGTATGGCAAACCTCTTGGGGACAAGACGATAAGAGGGACTCCACAGGGTGGCCATAAAGTTTGGGTATTTTAAATTGCATGCTAACTTTATAGCCACTCTGTACCTAACAAATGCAAACATAGTAACCTAATTCTTGGTACCCTCAAATTAACCTAAAATAAATACAATAAAAAGAAATTCAAACTTCTATTCATTTCCCCATGTTCTCCAACAAGAAAAAAATAAAGGGAAAATATTCTCTAAACTTTTAGGGAAACATGTGGCAGACTTATATCATACCTGATTAATCAATTCTGTTAACGGTGTGACTATGATACTCCACACTCTCCAGAGATGCTCCGTATTTTCCAAATGCTTTATATTTTGATTAATAACATTTAAAACAGAGTCACTGAAAGCTAATGGTGAAGTTGGACCAGAAAGAACACAGCTTACAAGTGTTTCAAGATTGAGAAAAAACCTGAAGAAAAAATTGTGATGTGTTAATCAATATTTTGCAGAAATACATTAATTGAACTTTAATAAAATTCTAAAAATAGTAACAGAAAAAAATGAGATTCTGAAGTCATTTTGATTTTTTTTTTTGTAGAGACAGAGTCTCACTTTATTGCCCTCAGTAGAGTGCCGTGGCGTCACACAGCTCATAGCAACCTCCAACTCCTGGGCTTAGGCAATTCTCTTGCCTTAGCCTCCTGAATAGCTGGGACTACAGGTGCCTGCCACAACGCCCGGGTATTTTTTTTTTGTTGCTGTTGCAATTTGGGGCTGGGTTTGAACCCACCACTCTTGGTATATGGGGCCAGCGCCTTACCCACCAAGCCACAGGTGCCACCCTAGTCATTTTCATTTTAAAAAACTTATTAAATAAATGAATTTTTAAAATCTCTTCCATTACGTAACGTTTCCAAGATAAAACAACATAAAGTTTTAGGTTATTTGATGTACAAACTTACCTTTCATCTGCTATACCACATTCCAAGAGGTTGCTGAAAGTTAACTGAATTAAGAACAAAGCTGGAGTTCCCTGAAGAAGAAAATAAAGTTATCTCAGTTATAAAGAATGGCATGCTTGTTTTCTACCATCAGTTACACAAGAAATATAATTGTTACAGCATAAGAAATTGCCATTACACAGGATATTTTCGGCATTACAGAATAGTAAATTTATTTCTAAAAACTATACACAAAAATCCAATCCTTTATATTCTTATCATAGCTGCTCCCTTTACAAGAGAAATCAAGAAATGGTGAGAGATTCCAAGATATAAAAACATTTCCTTAAAATTGCTAAACCCACAATCCTACCTCCCACATACAGTAAGTACATTTTACATTACTTAATGTTCTTAAGCTTCCAAGATTTATAACATTAATCAGCACTATTATTGTATATAAAAGCAGTACTAGTCTTCCATAGAAATAAGGAAAATATTTTCATTATTCACATAGTACCATTACTATTTAATTCTTACATTAACTTATTACTTTATCAGTTTTCCCTTTAATTTAGGCAACATATTTCAAATCCACTAATCTCAAAATTTTACAGTATCACTTTTCTTATAGAGAGAAATAAATATATCACTTTTTTTTAAGGAAAAGAGAATATTTTGGGGAGGGCAATCTTTACAGCATTACATTTAGGATACTTGCATTAAGAATATCCATATTAGCAACCTGATATGCTGGTGAACCTAATACTTTCTGAGGAAGTCCTTTAACTGTAATTTCCATGAGGACCTAAGAGAAAGAAAATGTTTTATAGTAAATTGGCCCTAAAAATATTTAGTACAAGTCTGTTAGTGTTAATTATATTTTTTTAACCTCATGTGATAATTAATGCTTTCAGTTTAAAGTCTGTTTTCTCGGATCTTCTAAATTTCCATACAGTTAAATACACAAAGAAACATATACCTCCTTATGCTGTAATTACATACAGTCTTTTAAACAATTAATGATGATATGTAAATCATTAATGATATTTAACTTCGTGACTAACCTTTAATTTTACTTTGTTATGGAGTTTTGCCATCAAGTTTTGTAAATTCTGCTATATAAACGACCATAATTAATTACATTTTATTTTTATTTATTTTAGAGAGAGTCTTACTCTGTCACTCCTGGTAGAGTGCTGTGATGTCACAGCTCACAGCAACCTCCAACTCCTGGGCTTAGGCGATTCTCTTGCCTCAGCCTCCTGAGTAGCTGGGACTACAGGTGCCCACCACAACACCTGGCTACGATTTGTTGCAGTTTGGCCAGGGCTGGGTTTGAACTTGCCACCCTTGGTATATGGGGCCCGTGCCCTACTCACTGAGCCACAGGTACTGTCCCATAATTAATTTTAGTAGCATTAATGGACCTGGGGCTATTTTTTTATACTGCTAAAGGAAATTCTTATATAATTCTGCTAATGAATTATGTAACATCTGGTATCTAAAGCAAACAGTCAAAGGACGGCTAACTAAAAGTTGGGTCTAAGATTACTAACTCAAGCGAAGTGTGGTGGCTCATGCCTGTAATCTTTGCACTTTGGGAGGCTGAGGCAGGTAGAATGCCTGAGCTCAGGAGTTTAAGACCGGCCTAAGCAGAAGCAAGATCCCATTTCTATTAAAAACAGAAAAACCAGCCACGCACTATGACAGGCATCTATAGTCTCAGGTACAGGGTGATAGGGTGAGACTCTGGTCTCAAAAGAAAACAAAATTTGCTAATTTAAAATCTAACTGCAGTGGCTCATGCCTGTAATTTTAGCACTCTGGGAGGCCAAGGCAAGTGGATTGCTTGAGCTCACAAGTTCAAGACCAGCCCGAGCAAAAGCAAGACCCCTCTCTCTACTAAAAATAGAAAAACTGAGGCAAGAGGATTGCCCGAGCCCAAGTTGAAGGTTGCTGTGAACTATGTCTTGGTTGGAGAAGAGTTCATTTAAAACAATGTACGAGGCAGGGTGGTGCTTGTAGCTCAATGAGTAGGGCACCAGCCCCATATACTGAGAGTGACAGGTTCAAACCCAGCCCCGGCCAAACTGCAACAAAAAAACCCCCAGGTGTTGTGGTAGGCACCCGTAGTCCCAGCTACTTGGGAGGCTGAGGCAAGAGAATCACCTAAGCCCAGGAGTTGGGGGTTGCTGTGAGCTGTTAACCTCGGTATATGGGGGTGGTGCCCTACTCATAGAGCCACAGCACTCTACAGAGGGTGAAAAGCGAGACTCTGTCTCAAAAAACAAAACAAAGAAAAAACCCCCAATGTATCAGGCAATCATTATAGGTATCAGCAATCTTGTCATAAAAATAGGAGACATTTGAATTTCTTTAGTTCAAACATTGTATCTTTCACCTCATTTTCTCTGTATGGTTGACTCTTTTTCTTATTAATTTGAAGATTTATGTAGTTGCTGTTATAGTCATTTACTTTACTAAAAAGTTTCAAATGACTCTAAAGTCAACGTAAAAGCATTTATTATGGCTTGGCACCTAGAGCTCAAGCTGCTAAGGCGCCAGCCATATACACTGGAGCTGGTGGGTTCAAATCCAGGCTGAGTCTGCCAATAGTCCCAGCTGCTTGGGCGGCTGAGACAAGAGAATTGGTTAAGCCCAGGAGTTTGAGGTTGCTATGAGCTGTGACGGCCACAACACTCTACCCAGGGCGGTGGCATGAGACTGTCTCAAAAAAAAAAAAAAAGTCTTCCTAAAACTTGATCTGTGCAGTATCTTCAACATAAAATTCAAGTTCAGAATACGTTTTTTTTAAAAACAGACAGTCTCGCTTTATCACCCTTGGTAGAGTGCCGTTGTGTCACAGCTCACAGCAACCTCCAACTCTTGGGGTCAGCCTCCCAAGTAGCTGGGACTACAGGCGCCTGACACAATGCCCTAGCCATGGCCAGGCTCGGGTTTGAACCTGCCACCCTTGGTATATGGAGCCGGTGCCCTACCCCGAGTCACAGGCACCACCCAGAACATGGTGTTTAATGTCCAACATATAATTATTGCACTTACCAGTGTTCTGGATACAGGAAATACTTCAGACTTCACTACGCTTTCTAAAGATTTTATTAAGAAAGTCAAAACTTCAGAACCTGGTCTTTCTTTTTTGTTACCTATCAAAAAGCAAAAGGAAAGGTGTGGTTCTAAAAACATGTTTTTAGAGGTGAATACACATAGTTATAAAAAAAATTGTATTTTTTGAAGTACAGTTGACCTTTGAACAAGTTTTACCTGTGTGAGTCTACTTATATTCTTACTTTTTTTCCTTCTCTGCCACCCCTGAGACAACAAGACCCAGGCCTCCTCTAACTACTCAACAGCCCAATCAACATGAAGACTCTTATGACCATCTACTTCCACTGAATAAGCAGTAAATACATTTTCTCTTCCTTATAATTTCCCTAAGAATACTTTCTTTCATCTTACATTATTGTAAGTATATAACATACACAATATAGAAAATATGAGCAAATCAGTTGTTGATGTTACTGGTAAGATTTCTGGTCAATAGTAGCTATTAGTCATTAAGTTTTTGGAAAACCAAAAGTTGTGCCTGAGTGCCAGGTGCACTGGCTCATGCCTATAATCCCAGCACTCCAGGAGGCCTAGGCAGGTGGATTGCTGAGCTCAGGAGTTTGACACCAGTCTGAGCAAGAGTGAGACCCTATCTCTAGCTGGGTGTGTGGTAGGTATCTATAGTCCCAGCAAGAGATTGAGGTTGTTGTGAGCTACGATGTCACGGCAAGTCTAAAAAAACCAACCAAACAAACAACAAAACAAACCCAAAAGTTATACATGGCCTTTCAACTATATGGGGTTTGGACACTCCTAAATCCAGCACTGTTAATGGGTCAACTATAAATTAAAGTCTAGAAACTGTGATACTAAAAAAGATTTTAAAATAAATTTTATACACAAAAGTCAAACAATTCACTGGATGCTATAAAAATCATTTGTATTTAATCAGTGCAGTGGTGCTTACCAGATTCAGTAACTGACTTTACCAAGCTAATAAGTTCCTTCCAGATAGCAATGACAACTGCATCTGTCAAACCAAATAAATTTGAGTATTTTAAAGTAAAATAAAGTACATATCACAAAGGTTCTTCCTTTTATGCCTTATACTAAAGTAATAAAATTAACAATACACTAATATAATTTTGCTTGTGATACAAGTTCATAAAACATTACCTTATTGTGTTTAAAAAAATTAAACACTTCTTAAAAAAGGACTATATGTTAACACTGGGTTGCATAACCAAGGCTAAGTGCTTTCTTTTTTCCATTATCTTTATTTTCTGAATCTTCTGTTATTAATAACAATCACTTTTGAGACAAAGAAAACACAGATTCAGAAGGATTATCTGTGAAGATCAATAAAAATACAATTCATCATCTAATCAGTTAAACAGCAAACTATGTTGAAATTTCTATTCCTATTTGATACAACTGTAGAAGACAGAGGTTTAAAAGCAGATGAGGGAGCCAGAGAGCCTGAGTATCTAATAATGTCGTCACTTTGCACAAATTATTTACTTCTCCATACAACCCAGTTTCTCCATTTGTAAAGCAGACAAATGTAGGTGGTTGCTGTTATTAAATGAATATACATAAAGTTCTTATTGTATATTCTGGCCAATAAAGCAGGACTATACAAATATCTACTATTTTATCTTCTTTTTAAACACATATTTGAACAAATAATTAAAAAAATTCTCTTAATATATTTACCAGAGGCATCTTTTCCAACTGCAACAAAGCTATCACGAACAGCAGTGATAAGTGTATTTGCATGTTTGGAAAAAAAAGAAGGGCTGCTAATTAACGTATATTCAAGTGGTTCTGAAAGGGAAAGAACAAACAATGATTATGTGGAACAATGTATAAAGTATATTTCTTCCTATAAAATTTTATATGATTAGGAGATGTGTTTTTTATTTAAAAGATTCATACTTATTTCATACACTATTACAAATCGTTTTGGCTGTTTTGAAAGTATCATTTCTCTTCACTCCGACACACTGAGTTCTCAACTGTTTTAATAACTGAAATTAGGCCAGCCATGGTGCCCCACAACCATACTCCTAGCACTTTCAGAGGGAGGCCCAATCGGAACGAATGCTTAAAGCCAGAAGATTGAAATCTGTCTAGGATACACAAAGACATTTCTACACTATAGACCTCATCTCTCTAAAATTAAAAAAATTAGCCAGGAGTGACAACACATGCCTATTGTCCTAGTTCAGGGAGTTGGAGGCTGCAGTGAGGTATGAGTACACTAATACACTATAATCCGAGTGACAGAACAAGTCTTAGTCTCTTGAAAAATTTAAAAATAAATCAGAACAATTAAAATTATGAATATTTAAATACCTAGGCTCAGTACAAGTCTGTTTTGTTTAGCAAAACTCAAGACTTCTGGACCCAATAAAAAATGAAGCAACATTTCAAGCCCCAAAAGTTGAATGGAAGGAATCGCAGCCATTCCACCGAAACTGGAACTCGAGTTCATTCTTGGAGTTATAGGGGGTCCAAAAGGAGAAGAAGCACCTTTAAAAAAAGAAAGAAAGGGTAAGTTACTTAAGCTTTCTTTATTTTATAATGGCTACTCAAATGCACATGTATGTATTTCATTTCAATAAATTATACTTTTAAATATTTTTAGTTTAATTTTTGTAGGCATTAATCTATACACTGAACTATTAAAATGCCAACCTTTCTATAACTTAAATATAAAAATTTTAAAGATATAGAATGACATAAAATAACAAATAAGTGTCTTTAAATATGATATACACTAAGCCACATTTCTTATCTGCTCAGATGTGTTATTTTTAATAACACCACTAAGAATTTGGTTCTAAAACCAACAGAAGTTCATGTTAGTCATTCTGAGTTGTTTGTGATGTACTTCATTTAATGTGGTGGAAAAACATTTATATTTTCTAACCACAACAATGTACCCAGAACAATAAATAATAACAAAGAAAACAAACAAGAACACAGATTTTTGGTAAGGGTCCTAAAGATTATGAAATCCTTTATTTCATGTGAAAAACACTAAGCAAAACCTTCTCTGGAAACCTTTTGTAAAAGAGAAAAAACAGGATAGCTACCATTTACCTTTGTGTACAGGAGTCATAGGATTTAAACCTGAAGAAGTGGCTATACGAGATGAATTGCCTGGAGGTGAAGCACTGGAATCAATGCTTATCGTGCTTTGTATCAGAGGCACACAAACCTATGGACGTGAAAGTAGGAAAAATATCTATCTGTAAGCTGAATAACTGCCATATTTTAAAAAAGCTTTGCATGATATAAATTTCTTTAAAAAGCAATCTTAATTTTTTTTTTTTTTTGAGACCGAGTCTCAAGCTGTCACCCAGGTTAGAGTGCTGTAGCATCACAGCTCATAGCAACCAAAACTCTTGGGCTTAAGTGATTCTCTTGCCTCAGCATCCCAAGTAGCCGGGACTACAGGAGCCCCACAACACCCAGCAGTTTTTTGCTGTAGTTGTCATTGTTGTTTAGCAGGTCTGCCACCCTTGGTGTATGTGACTGGTGCCCTGCTGACTATGCTACGGGTGCTGCCACAATCTTAATTTTTGATATATATTAAATTTTATTGGTTGTTCTCATGCACAAACAGGCTAAATAAATGAAATTTAGGAAAATAAAATTCCTATAATTTTTATTTATTTTATGTATAATTTTATTTGCCCTTAACGTGTATTATCTGTATATTTGCTTATACACAAAAACCAACTTTTAAGTGTGGTGACTTACATCTGTAATCCTAGCACTCTGGGAGTCCACAGCAGGTGGATGACTTAAGCTCAGGAATTTGAGATCGGTCTGAGCAAGATTGAGACTCATCTCTACTAAAAACGGAAAAACTGTTTGGTACTGGCACCTATAGTCCCAGCTACTTGGGTGCCTGAGGCAAGAGGTTCTCTTGAGCCCAGGAGTTTGAGGCTGCTATGAGCCATGATGCCATAGCACTCTACCCAGAGCAACTAAAACTCTGCCTTAAAAAAAAAAAAGAAAAGAAAAAGAAAAAGAAACTTTCACAAATGTTGTTTTGAGTTTTACATTGGCAGATTCTAGAAAATAAAAAGTAAGATAACTTAAAAAACTTTTCTGGCTCAGTGCTCGTGGCTCAAGTGGCTAAGCCGCCAGCCACATACACCTAAGGTGGCAGGTTCAAATCCAGCCCAGGGCCTGCCAAACGATGGCTGCAACCAAAAAATAGCCAGGCGTTGTGGCAGGTGCCTGTGGTCCCAGCTACTTGGGAGGCAGAGG